AATAATAACTAATAACGATCCGCCATTTTTTATTTTGCATATTTTTCTTTCCCTAATTTAGCTCATCCCCTGCCGACGAGACACGTCATCAGGAAAAAGTTCGACTCAACGAAACTGTCCGTGACGTCATCGTCAACGTCATTGCACGTCAGCAAAAACACTAAAAACAACAAAAACAATTATTATTACCTATTTGTGTGGCTATTATTTGTGTTATAATTTTATTTATTATTATTGTCGTCTTTGTTGTTAGTACTACTACTATGAGAGAAGGTTATATCCAGTATGACAAAATATTCCTAACTAACACCAATAAGGCTTCTGTCCTAAATTTAGATTTCATTGGGGAAAACAATAACAACAACCACAACAACAACTACTACAACAACTACAACAACAACGACAGAAGTATTATTTATTATTATTATTGTTGTTGTTGTTATTATTATTGTTGTTGTTTCTATATTTAGATTTTCGTGATTCGTTAATTTATTACTGAATTTTTATTATTTAATAATTCGTTTGGTTATATTTCTGTGTGACAACTTATTCAACGGTAACAGCGAAACATTGTGACAAGAAACTGTAATACCACTGCTACTGCTACCACTACTACTACTACTACTACTACTACTACTACTACTACTACTACTACTACTACTACTACTACGACTACTACTACTACTACTACTACCACTACTACTAGTACTGCTACTAATAACAATAATAATATTAACAATACTGATAATTCATCATTTATATTTTTTTGTAATATAGCGTTATCTGGCATGAGATGTTGAATAGATTAATATAATGATACATTTGTCAATGGTGTCAGATTCGTTATTTTTATTTCGAATTCGATTCGATTCGAACACACGTACACACACACACACATACAAACACGTACACACACACACGAACACATTAAAATATAAATACTGAAGATGAAATAATTCAAACGAAGATATAAACATTTTTTAAAAAGTCAGCTCATTCATTTACATATTTCTACATTTATATACAGTGAGTAATAAACTTTATACATATTTATAAATATTAATTAAAAATTAAATTAAATAAATAAATATATATATATATAATTATTAATTATATATATATATATTTATGATATATATATATATATCAAAAAATTAAACAAGTAGCTAAATAACGCAGAACATGCTGTGATTTTCATAAATGATTGCATTTCTGACAGTCTTAATTTTCTCTCTCTCTCTCCTTCTCTCTCTCTCTCTTTCTCTCTCTCTCTCTTTCTCTCTCCCTCTTTTTATATATATATATCCATAAATATATATATATACATATATGATAAATATAAATATTACATAAATATATATATGTCTGTATGAATATATATATATATATATATATGTAGGCACCGGTATAAATAAAATAAGGCAATCTTTCACCCATAATAAAGTATAATTATATATATATATATATATATATATATATATATATATATATATATATATATATATATATATATTAAAGTTGTAAATGCCATAAAATGCTTATATATATAAATATATATATGTATATATATATATATATTTATATTTATATAGCATACATATATATATAGCTAAAATAGAGTGATAATGACAAAAAAATATGTTTCACGCAA